AGGAATTAAGAGTAGCTCTGCCACACCAATGGTAATTTCTCTTAGGTCTAACATAAAAAAAATAGATATCCTAATCATAACATTTTAACTGTTCAACTTAAGGAAGCTAAAGGCATAAAACACAAAACCAGTAACATTTCTGTGTACAAAGGTTTAGCTTTACAAAACCTTAAAAGTTTTTTCCTGACTTCTTTCTCCCCACCCCAATTAAAATCCCCCTCTTTTAGTAAACAATTTATGTTTCTCCCCATACCTCATCATCTGAGCTGATATAGCTTCCAGAAGTATTTTTTTCCAAGTATATTTTTGAAGTGGTTTGTTGCAGAAAGTCTGAGATCCTCTGTACAAGAAAGTCTCTGTCTTTCAAGTTGGCAAAGAGGAACGTCATTCTGTTTTTTGTGCTGATTGATAACGGGCTGGGCAACACACTGGAGCTGTCTGCCTTTTCAACTATTGTCACCTAGGGAGAAACAGTAGCTATAGCTTAAGATCTTTAATCAATCAAGTTACTTGGTCTAAGAAACCATCTTAATACAATAAACTCATGCTCCTTCCCCTTATATTGAATCACTATGGACATCCCTCTGCAGAAAAACAGGATTTGGATACAAGGACTTACAAGTCTGAAAGACAAAGACAACTGGCTTCAGTACATTCTCCAGCAAAAGTCCTTTGCACTGCTTAGTTTATTTTACTAAACAACAGTAAAGCCAACAACTGGCTTCAGTACATTCTCCAGCAAAACTCCTTTGCACTGCTTAGTTTATTTTACTCACGCTTTGTTTTAAAAGAATTAGTAAAGCAATATTTCTTCTGTGGGATGAAGATCTATGAGCTTTTTTGCAGGACCTTCGAATCCTTCTCCTGCTTCCCAAGACCAGTACAGGCTGAATCAACAGAGACTTTTGCTTACTTTTTATTGACAATATATGTGAATAAGCCATTTTTGGAATGACACTTTTGTTCTACTATATTATAGCTGCATACTGTGATAACAACAGTTACTGCAACTGTATTTTCATGGCACACAGAAACCTGCCACAAAGGGAAACACCGAACCCTCTGAGGTGGAGGTTTCTGTTTGGCCTTCAGTTGTTAGTGAAATGGTCACTAAACCAACTGAACTCCAACCTGTAAACAATACTCACACCACAATCTACTGAGTACAGGGCACTTGTTCCCTGAGCTTTTGGTAAAGCACCTCAACGCAAAGAAATCTCAGGGATAAGTCATACACTGTGGATGAATTACAGAACAGCTGTGTGTTTGAAACATTACCAACTATTAACCTGAAAAACAAATAAACCAGTCAATCAAGCTTGTGCAGTTCATACATTGAACAAAACACAAATCACAATTGTAAGTACTTTTAACCACTGCTTTTATGACTTTAAACAATTTTCTAGGTAATGAAAACTGTCTTACTGCTTTCAGAATAGAAGAGGGCATATTTCAGTTTACTAGGACCTTTACTTTTGCTCTTTTTTTTTTAACCCTTTTAAAAATAGAGATCAATGGTAAGATATTAGTGCTGTAATATTAATATCTCTCTAGCTAAAAGGATAGGATAACCATTTTTCACACAACATTTTCTTTGAAGATGTATTTAAAGACTGCAATGAACAGCTCAGGTGCTAAATCCCTTCTCTATCCTTCCAACTTGCTTTTATTTTTCTGTTAACTAAAAATCTATTAGTTATTCATTACCTTAAAGGACCTTCACCAATAGCATATTGATATTAGCTAAAAAGTGTTTCTTCAGCTGTTTCTTTCCCTTAAAGCTTTAGAGCTGCTTTGAATCCCATGCTGCTGTGGCTGCGGTTACCAAAAGCAGTTGCTGAAAAGACGTCCTGTTAAATGCAGATTTTGTTCTCCTCCACCACCACTTTACCTGGAGGACCGTTGTTCCCTTGGAGTTCCAAACAGTGCAACCATAATCGAATGTCTCTTCTCGAATAACCAGTTATTGCAACACACTGTGGAGAAGCTGTACTTCAAAGTTTCCAAACAAATACCATTTGGTTTTACTCTTAACGATTTGTGGGGGAAAAGAGTGCCTTGAAATATTCCATGGTTCTGCAGTCTAGCCAAACTGTCCTTGGTTACATCAGCTTTGCTACTATTTCCAAGACTTACTTTACACATTTTTCCATTAACCCACAAATCAAGTCAATCATAAAAAGCCTCCCCAACATATTTTTTTTAATTGCATCAAACTTAAATTCTTTTTACTGAACATCTACTTTAAGCAGCCAGCTTTAAAAAGGGAAGCACACCAATTTGTAAAATGCTGACAAATATTTTTCATATACAGGAATAAATGATTGCAAGTCTGTGTGAAGAGACAATTCAAATCCTTAGGATTATGAATCTTTTTACATCTGACAAAAGCAAATCTTATCTGACAGACTCTTTAATAAAAGTTCCGCTCATCAGTCTAGGAAGTTTTATCATCCGTCCCTCCCTACGAGGCACGAAAAATGTACCGTGGGGCTGTAAAACAGAATTTAAATTAGGGGAGAGGAAGGACTCATGAGGGTTGTAAAAACTGACAGAGAAAATTCCCTGTCAATTTTAGTAACAGGAACTTTGAACTAAGATACACAGTCATTAAATATTACTTAGAATCCATCAGAATAGTACGCTCACAAGAAATTAAGGGGATGAAAAGAGGTTTTCCCCAATAATGAAAACAACATCAAAGCTAGGATGCAATTTCCAACACGATATTGCTTTATTATTTGCCCTATAAATCTACAAATACAAATATTTACCTCTCGAAGAGGGATAATAAGGCTGCACAAGTTCTCCTCTTTACTAGTAAAGCAAATGTAGTTTGTAGAAACAAACATCTGACCCAAAATATGCATTTTGTTGAATGGAGTCCAGAGAGTACAGTCTGTGTGCCCATCTAATTTCTCATCCTTAGGAAGTCGGAACAATGCACGGTATCTCTCACTCTTTGCTCTGGCATCAAGATCCCTACAAAAAAAAACACAGAAAGCTTTTCTTGTCTTAAAAAATACATAATACATTTAAAGATATATTTTATACAAATCATTGCAAGTTACTGGCAACATACAACTCAGTTAAGCACTGAGCGTACAGCAAAACAATAGAAATAGTTTGCATACAGGGGATGTACAGTCTCCGCTGCTGGAAGATTCTAAAACTACATGAAAAAAAAATTTCTGCCATGAATGACTTCGATACATCGATCCTGACTTCTCAGAGGGGACAAGCTGGGTGATCTTTTCACATTCACTCCTACTTTCTGAGAATATACATAGTGAACCCATTTATTATTAAACAATGCACGACCCCATGTAATATTACACCAAAGATGATGCTTTGATGCTCATTAACATGATGGAATCCCGAGGGCTAGAGTTTGTCAACAATTTCAAGACTTAGTCTTAATAATGCCTTCAGTACAAAACATTGAATAGTTAGAAAGACAAACCTAAGTGATATAATGTATGTCAGATGTCATTAAGTAATGAGAAATATAAAAAAAGCACTGATTACAATTCTGTATGATTCACTAACATGATCAACATATAAAATAATGAAAAATTAACAAGAAACTACAAAATTGTAGTATGATATCTATGAAAGAAGAAGAAATATTTTTCAGATAATTTTTCATCCCTTAGAATTTTATGTCATTTTTTTGCATCTGTTACCTAAAATAAGTTCTAGATAGAATTCATCATCTAGAGTAATTTTTCAATTCCAGTTATAGGACCAACTATGAATGTTAGGCACATTCATTAATAACACTTAAATCACTTTATTACCTTCCCCGGTAACATAAAAGGGCCTTAGAACAGATACCTAAGAGATATGTTAAAGAGCTTCTGAATAAATGAGAATTTGGCTCAGGTATGTTTCTTTTTTTTTGACGTGTTCATATTCAAATATTTTCCCTTTCCTATTTCAACAGGAGACCGAGTAATTATATTTAAATAATTATTCACATTTTGCCACTGCTGGAATCAATCACTCCTTTTGGAGTAACAGTAAATGGCACCAACATTAGAAAACTTTTGGACAAAATGCTGCAAGTAAAAGGACTGAGGAGAAACAAATGACTAAGAGCCAGTGCTACCTACCGTTTTAGTGCAGATACTTTTTTGGGGGATTTCTTTTTCAGCTTGGGTAATGACCTGTCTTGTTCAAATCCTTCATTGTCCAAAAGCTGTCGCATAGCTATATTGGCAAGCTGTTCCATTAGTTTAAATGTCTCACTGATATTAAGGAATACTGAGAAGAAATGCTCACTTGACCTTGTGCTCACTTTGATCATATCAGGGAAGAGCAGTGTAGCATTCTTCTCAAGTTGAGTGATATCAACCCAGCGGATAACTAACTTTGCTGAACAGAAGCAAACAGAAAAAACAAGTCAGTACAAAAATTAGCATAAATCAAAACCATTTATCTTCCTCTTCCTATAAAATGTATTCAGTTGAAATTCTCTTGCATCTTGAAAAGTTGGGAGGATAGCATAAACAGACCCAGCTTGTACAAACAAACTATGATCACCTGACAAATAGCAGATAAATAATTTACTTCTGTAAGGAACACCACACAACAGCATTACAAAGCTAGGTGGGCTAAAATAATTTATCATTGCCACAGCACTTGCTCAGACTCTGATGTCCTCTTTTCCTATGGAAGCAAAGAAACATAGTCTAAACACATCAGACAGACTTGTGTTATTTTTATACATTAAAACATTTCAACTATTACAGTAATGACAGATCCTTGGCTTTAATTCCAATACCACTACAGGTTAGGATATTGTCCTTAAAACAGGGACTACATCTTCATGTCTTTTTGTCAAAAAAAAAAAAAAAAAAGTTCCAGTCATTCACTAGAGTATGTCTACACAGCTAAATAGAAAGACCCCGGACTGATCCATTGCCCATAACCAAGTACTGCAGACTTGCCCACCTCCACCCTGCTAGAGCAGGCTGCTTGCACCCACACTATGTAGTTCTTGATCCTGGGTCTCCTCTGAGCCCTTTGGAATGCTCTGGTGGTGTGCAAGAGTAAATGTGGCATTTGAGGTTGCAAAGTCTGCCAGAGTAGTACTGGAGGATTGTATAAGAGCAAAAGGAGCCCAAACTGGTGTGATCTCATCCCTATTCCCTTTTGTGCACAGTCCCTGAAGTGAACCATGCCTCTAAAACAATTGTTTTACAGATAACTACTTTGAGAAATACAAAACAAACAACGGAACAAGCTCACAGTTAAGCAGTGTGACAAATCAAGGAATTGCTCCCTGCTCCTCTTTTCCTCAGCAGCGTCT